GGCCGTTGCCGAACATATATTTGAACAGTAAGTCATCTTGATTATGATTTACGTGTTCCAACTATTTACCAAGTTTTAACTGAAAACTATGAAAATATAAGAGAACTGTAATAAAGTTGTAAAAAGATAAATTTATTATACCTCAAAATTTAATGTTATTATTAGTGGATGGACTTCTGTGCTGTTAATTACTTATTTTATTGTATCAAGTTTTCAATATACATACTGTATGTGAAATATTTTGCATACTTTAGCCGTAAGCATACCATACCATGTGGCATATTTAAAAATCTCACATTAACAATAAACTACACATACAATACAATTACACAGTTAATACAAAAAAATGTAGTAAACCAACTGTAACATAAAATTTATGAATACATTTTTCTCAATAATTTAATTTTTTTGTTATGCAAAATATGCAAAAGTTTGATTAAAAATTATTGCATTTGAAAGTAATCAGTGATAAGTGTAAAACACATATAGTATTTACATTAATAATTCTCAATAATGTTAGCTGTAATGAATACTGCATTAATTGTAAAATATATGTAAAACAAACTGTAACACAAACATTATTCATGAAATGTGTTATAGCAATCATTAATATAAAACTACATATGTAATCAATGGGCGATTGGGATACAATTAAATTATCTTTACAATGTAATCAGATTATATTTTCATACATTGCTATTTACATAGTATTTTAATAATAATAATTAGTGTGCTAATCATCTACTGTATTGTCTGTACACTCTGTCAGGTGTATAGTGGACTACTTGGGACCCAAAATCCGAATACTAGTCACACATCAAATCCAATTCATACGAAAGGCTACGAAAATCCTTGTGTTAGACGACGGAAAGTGTTTAGGTTTGGGAACGTTTGACGAACTGTTGCCCAAAGGGTTAGACTTTATGGCAAACTTTGACGGCGACGACGACGACGAGAACGCGGACGCAGTGGTGGCCGAAAGCGAGGGCTCGAGTGTACACACGATGTGTAGCGAAACGGATACTAAATCACAACAATCGGCGGTCACTGTTAGGGCCGACTCTGTCCGCAGTAGGCGTACTGTACGGCGCCTTATAAGCAATACAATTACGGTATTATAATTTTATAACCCATACACCCACCTCATTTTTGCAATACATAATTATTTTGTTTGCTGTACCCATAGAGACAAATCTCTGTTATTGGGGCTCAGGAGGAGGAGGAGGCGCCCCATATACAGGACGAGCAACAGAAAGTGGGCTCAATCGAGGGTCGGGTGTACTGGGAGTACATCAGAGCCGGCGCTGGTATAATACTGGGCACACTTACCATACTATCCACATGCATATCGCAGGTCTTATTTCACGCATCGGATTTATGGCTAATGCAATGGTTATTAATATAACAATTTAAATGATCATGTGCGATGATTAATATTACTATTATTATTAATAAACCCATAGGACCAACCATGAGAAAACGCAAACTAAAGAGAAAAATAATTTCGCCCTGATCATTTACGCGATACTAATTGTGGCCCTATTGCTGTCAACAATGGTCCGGTCGACGACTTGGTTTGCCATTTGTATGATTGCCTCCAAACGTCTGCACAACACTATATTCATACGGCTATTGAGGGCACCGATGGCTGTGTTTGATAACAATCCTATCGGTATTG